CCTCCCGTTCTGGATTGCCAACTGCCACTTTTTGGGCTTATTTTTTATTAAGCGAAATAAGGTCATCAGATGATTTCACTGGCGCAGAGTGCATTTTTGAAATATTGTTTAAACATTTCAGTGAATGGAGCAGGATTAGCTATGGCTACGATGGATATTATTAAGCTTCACGGTGGTGAGCCGGCGAATTTCTTGGATGTTGGAGGTAGTGCCACGGTGGAGCAAGTTACCGAGGCATTCAGAATCATCACAGCTGATAAGGACAAGGTTGTCTTATCAATGTTTGACATCGGGAACTCCTTAAAGACATAGGTATGAGGGATTATTGCCTACTGCCAGTTTTCGTTGATCGCTGTCTGACCGTCTCGAATTTCCCATTTTAAATTAACATTATAATGCATTTTTGCGTATTGCTGGCGTGGTACTCTATTATTAACAGTTTATTTGTCTTAGAGAACGTTTTCCAGTCCTAAAAATACAGTAATTATATAAAATATTTAGAAAATTATTTCTTGTATTACTTCAGAAAATTCCAATTATGCGCGAATAAATGACAATTTTTGTTTAGGTTCATGCAATTCTTGTCAATATTTTCGGTGGCATAATGCGTTGTGATATTATTGCTCAGGGAATGATCAATGCAGTGAAGGAGCTTCAGCTTAAAGTTCCAGTCGTTGTTCGTCTACAGGGTTAGAGATTACTCTGAGAAGGAATAAAACACATGATTTTGCCCCCAGCAGACATTTATTTCCAAGTCCTCAGTCTTGTGCAGTAATTGGTACTTGTGCTAAAAAGTTCAATTAAGCTGGGCGGATTTTTGAGATGCTGTTTTAGGAGAATAAGAGGATGTTTTGAAGACCAAATATAGCTTCGCCAAGCTTGTGGGAGCATCATCGCAAACCTTGGGTGCCTACATCGTTTGTCAGAATGGTCTTGATATCCACAACATTGTGTAGAGTTCTGGCAGGTAGCGGATCAGTAGAATCTTCAGCTGAGTACAGCGGAATCCTTGGCTGCACCTTGATCATCAGGGTTTGAAGCCGTAAAACTATGTTCTATCTTGATCGGTATGGTTACTTTATTGCGATTTAAGAGTGGGACCGTCCGGGACAAGGTGGTGATGCGCAGCACACATTAGAAGTATCTCGAAACGGTTCGAGCTTTCTCTGATGTTTCTGTTGCAAAGACTGTTGCGTATTAGCTCTCTTTTATTATTTCATTCGACAAATGAAGTAGTAGAATAAAAGGATTTAACTTAGGTGTAAGAGGACATTTTACGATGCAGTCTCTGTGTTTCATCCCTTAGCTGTAAACACAGACCGAATTATGCGTCCAGGTAGGAGTGGGAATCATCAGTACAGCCTCCTACCCGTTACGTATTGAACAGCCATGTAACAAATTTGCAAGACGGATATGCGAAAGAAGGAGAAAACAGAGAAAGACCAAACAGAGTGGGAGAGGAGTGGAAGAGAAGAGAATTAACTCAGGAAACTAGGAAATGCTTTTTTGAGAATAAAGTCAGGATTGCCAGCAAGCTGACCTTCAAACAATATGACATTGGTCAAAATAGCTTGAAAAATTACTTAAGTAGTTGGCGGGCTATTAATTACAGTTGGTATCTGCTTATTCATTTTCAGGAAATCGTGTTGCGGATGCAAAAGCACTGATTGCCAATGCGCAGCTGCGAATGCTTCCGTGCGATGATTTGGATGATGCGGCAAAAATGGCCGTGAAATTGTCACAGATTGTGCAGCTGGCTCGATCTGCATCCGTTGATGTGAATTTTGAGCTTTCCATATAAATCTTGCTGAATCGCGAGCGAAAGGGACATTGTGCATCGTTGCGTTGATAATATTGTCTAGCTTTTTCTCTTAATTTATTCACTTTGTTTCTGTGTATTTTTTATCATTATTTGTGACTCGTTGCATAAAAAACGTTTACGGCTCGATATTTTATAACTTCCGTTTGTGAAATTGGCTTCTTTGGTGGAGGCTTTCAGAGAAAAAGCTAAAAATTGGCCTTAAAGCCAGTGAATAAATGCTTGGTTCCTGCACTTTTTTTGATTTCTGGCATATCTGAATGGTTTTTATAAAAGTTTTCTGTTGGTACCATTCCTTGTATTTTACAAGCTTTACTGAGCTTATCTTTTTTTTTTTAAACGACCAGGCTAATTTCTCACGCCTGTTCAGTCCTTGCGCTCTTAGCCAAGCCTAAGTTTTCTCCAGTTATTTTTCAGTTTTCTTCAATTGTACCTTTTCTCACAGTGCAATATTAGAAATGTGAGTGTGACATGTAAGCGCACTTCGCGTGCTATAATGGTGCTGCAAGTGCGCATTCTGGAACTGAGGTAGAAATCCACATCCGCTTTCCACGTGTTCTTCAAATGAAGCATTTATTTCCGAAAAAAGACGCGACTGATTATCAAAGGGAACGCAAAACAGTTGATAATGAAGTCAGAAAGCAATGCTTTTTTCTATATTGGGTGGTCCCTTCGGTTCTTCCGATGTTTTTGTTGTCTTTAACTGTCGTTGCTTAATACTGCTTATGGAGGATCTTAACTATGGAAATCTCAGAACAAAGTGCTGTCCAACTGTGTTTGTTTTTTTTTTCTTCCTTGTTCTGCTTAATTATTCACTTAAAATGAATGGGCATATTAAAACGAGATTTTTCAATTTTCGGAAAAAGGAAAACATCACACTTTTGCTCGGATTTGTGACTTGCAAGACCAAGGGTTGCTAGAACTTGCCGGCAGTTGTTTCGGTTTTAGACTGTTAATTTTATCCGTGGGAACGCTTTTGGTGCAAAGAAAATAATTCAAGATCAAATTTCTCTCCTTTGCAAATTCGAACTTGGGGTATTTTGAGTATTTTTTTGGGGCGGTTGGCACCCGTGGTAGTGTATCGTTTGAATGCGTTGGAATGTGTATGAGTGTATGTATTTATGGCTACAATTCATTGAAATGTAGTTTGAGAGCAATGCAAAAAAGTGTACCGCACTCGTATCCGATTCAAATTTATCGGTACCAAATATTTGTTTTTTTGTGCGATGGTCTTTTTTTTTTCGTTGTGATAATAGTCTGTATGTACAACTGTGATTCAGTTAGCGCTTCGTCTGTTTCTCATCTGCAAATTCCACAGAGTTTTTATATCGTTCCGCCTGTTTCTTTCTATATTTGTGTATAATGTGCGAGTGTTTATATGCGTGTTTATCAGACCGGTGCCCTCTTTCCCCGGTATCTCTCATTCGCTGTTTACTGTGGTGGTGATAAATGAAGTTTTAGCTGTCATTTATCTCTTATCCGATTGGTTGAAACCCGATGTTTGTCTGCTCAGAAGTTAAACCCCCGCTGTATTCTCTCCCTGTAAGAGGTGGAGACGCCGGGGAGTAACCCGATTGGCTGCAAGTAGGAAGAGTCATAGGCGGGTTCAGGGAGGTAGGGAGGAGGAAAGGACGAAAGGTCTTTCGTTCCCCCCACTCCCTCCACCTGGTGGCATAGGCCTCAGTGCTGCAAAAACCCGGGTCTGTTCATAAATAAAACTAAAGTAACTCTAAGTGTTACTTAAGTGTTACAATTCTGTTCCTAGTTTTTGCATAGTTCCAACTTAGGGGGGAGCTCCCCCTCCCCACCGCGGAGTCCGTCTGGATCAAAAAGGATTTTGACGTAGTTAACGCTCAGACATGCCTCGGTACGGACTTATTAGCAGTTAATTTTATATAAAGCATAATGTTATCAAGCAATGAAAAATTGTTACTCACGGCTTGTCACCACATTTCACGTCAGAGATTTCATATTCAGGATGTTCACGTCGCATTTCACAACATAGGGTATCCACATCGCATTTAGAGTGAAGATGTATACGTCACGTCTTCTGTTAAGGATTTCACGTGGTTCATATTGGTGCTGTTAATAACCGCCTTTCGCACCTTGCATTGAGTGGTTTTTCCATGACTGTTTTGGGCAGAATTCTAGTGTACCGCAAACCAGTGGTTAAACAGCTCTTGTGCTGTTTCTTAGAAGGGTTAAGGAATCATGGTAAAGAATCATTATTTTCCATTAAATGCCCTTATCTTTGTGGTTTTTCATTTCAGGAAGAATAGCACGCTGATTGTTTTGTTGAAGCAGTGCAAGCATATATTTTAGAATCATTTAATTCGATAGATGAGAGGTTGCTTGAAGTTTAATTCCGTCGTAAAGTAGATTTTTATTTTTATAAGTAACGATTCAGGTTACCAGGCCGTTTGATTGTCGTCAGTCCTCACCTCCGTTTCCACTTTTCTTCTCTCCTTCAACCTCATTTCCTCATTTGTAAATATCGGCAAGAAATTGGAACTAAAGTAGGAGATAGAATTTACTAAGCCTGCTGCTGAATTCCAGTGTGATATTCAGCATTTTCAAGTGGAAATACTTTCAGGCTATCTACGTTTGTTCACGCAGATACAACAAACGCAGCTACTTCAGAGTAATAATTTTAACACTGTGACTTTTTTTACACATAGTTCTTTTTCTAATTTTTCATACTAATATTCCACACTGATTGCCCAAGTGGTCTTCGGATTTTTAAAAATTCGCGTAATTCCTTCACATTTGCATTGTTCAGATAAGTAATATTATCTGAAATAAGCGTAACAGTACTTGAAGGGTAAAAAGTGTAAAATAGAAAGAAATGAACTTCAATTTGTTAACAAATTTTTTTCCCCTCTCCTATTTCCCTGCCTGCTTCTCCCACTCAAAACTGCATTCAAAAAAAGTGAAGAAAGCCGATTCGAATTTGATATTTTTGCAAGATTTTCAAAGTCATAACTTTATTATTGGTTTCTAGATAGGCTAAGAATGAAAAAGAAATGGTTTGTACACATTTGCATCGACGCACAACTGCTTCCTACATTAGTACTGCTGACCTCTTTCTCGCATTTGTTAGTTTTTGTACACTCACACAACAACACATGTCTGCGCTAGTACATTAGCACTAGTCAGTTTCTTCGTCAGGAATATCAATTTGGGCAGTCGTTATGCATATACATCGGTGGTATACATCTGACATTCTTTTCATGTATTAGTTTCGACAGTCTTTATACATTAATATTAACACATAGCTGCTACTGCTTTATCATCACAGTTGCTAGTTTGGCAGTCTTTGTACACTGATCAATCACTGATCCATT